TGTTTCTTCATTGCTGTGACAAAACACTTTGACCACTACCAACTTGGGGAGGAAAGGGTTTATTCAGCTTACATCTCCCTGGTCGCAGTTCATCAGGGAGCCCAAGGTAGGAACTCAGGGCAGGAACCTGGAGGCAGGAGCTGGAGCACAGGCCATGGAGGAATGCTGCTTACTGGCTTGCTCCCTTGGCCCCTGCTCAGCCTGCTTTCTTATGCAACACAGGCCCACCTGCCCAGGGGTGGCACCACCCACAGTGGGCTGGGTCCTCCCGCATCACTCATCAAGAAGATGCCCTTCAGACATGGCCACAGGCCAGTCCAATAGAGGCAATTCCCCAATTGAGGCTCCCTCAGGTGTGTCAATTTGACACTAAAGCTATCCAGCACAACATTCATTAGACTTTGAAGTTTAAAACAAAGGTATGTAAATGAATTTCTTTCAAGGCAAAGTCTCCTTAAGACAATAGTTACAGGGACTCCAAAGACCCTCCTATGACCTGCACCCTGTATTGTCCTGTATAGTCCACACAGCAGCCCACAGTGTAAATTCTGGGTGGAAATATGGTTCAAACCACAGCCAAGAAAAATGCCTTCATGTCTGTATTAGTCACTTTTCTTTTGTTGCTGTGACCGAAATACTTAAGAAGCAGCTTAAGGAGGGTTTACCTTAGCTTATGGTTCAGGGCATACAGTCTCGGTAATGGGGAAGGCGTGGCGACAGGAACACTAAGTGACTGCATATTGTGTCTACACTGAGACAGATGAATACTGGTGCCCCCCTCACTTCCCTTTCTTACTCAGTCTAGGACCCCAGCCCATAGGGATGGTGCCACTGCATTCAGGGTAAGTTTTCTGTCTTTAGTTAAACCTTTCTGGAAACACCCTTATTGACACAGGCAGAGATGGGTTTCTAGTCAAGAAGACAATGGAGATTAGCCATCCCGGTACTGCAGTGGGAAGCCACCCATGGACTCTAGATAGTCTGTTCCCTGGTCTCCCTGTGCTCTTCCCTAAGTCCAAATGTAGCTGCAGAGTAAATAATGTGTTAACTGGATTAATTTTTAAAGAAACATTGGCCAGGGGCACTGGGGTATAGCTCAGGGTTACCCATGAGGCCTTAAGGTCATTTGCTTTCTTAGAAAGTACAGGCTTGGGGCTGGGGAAATGGGCCACTGGGTAATATGCTTACTGCACAAGCAGGAAGACCTGAGTTCAGATCACCAGCACCTATGTAAAATCTGGCTGTGGCCTGTAGCCCAGGTTTTATTTTTTATTTATTTATTTATTTTTAATCTTTTTGAAACAGGGTCTCCCTGTAGCCCCAGCTGGCCTGGAACTCGCTTTGTAGACCAGGCTGGCCTCAAACTCACAGAGATCCCCCTGCCTCTGCCTCCCAAGTGCTGGCATTAAAGGATGCACCACCAACCCCAGCATTTGACAGACAGAGCGTTGGATCCTGGGGGCTCACTAGCCAGCCAGTCTAGGAGAACAGTGAGCTCCAGGTTCAGTGAGAGACCTTACCTCAAAAAATAAATGGAGGGGTGGGGGAACTGGAGAGATGGCTCAGCAGTTAAGAGCACAAGCTGCTCTTGCAAAGAACCCAGGTTCAGGTCCCAGCACCCATACTGTGACTAACAACCATCTGAAACTCCAGTTCCATGGTATTCAATGCTCTCTTCTGGCCTTTTGGGGTATTGCATGACACAGGTACACTTACATATATGCAGGCAAAATACTCATACATATAAAGTTAAATAAATTTAAAAATAGGGTATAGGGGACTGGAGAGATGGCTCAGTGTTTAAGAGAAGTTACTGTTATTCCAGAGGACCTGAGTTCAGTTCCCGGAACCTATGATGGGTAGTTCACAGCAACCTGCAACTTCGGTTCCAGGGGAGCAAATGTCCTCTTCTGGCCTCTGTGGACACACACGCATACATGTCATACATACATACATAATTTTTAAAAGATTTTATTTGACTTAGCATGGTGGTGTAAGCCTTTAATCCCAGTACCCAGGAGGTAGAGACAGGCAGATCTGTATGAGTTGGAAGCCATCCTGGTCTACAGAGTTAGTTCTAGGCAAGCCAGTGCTACATAGTGAAATCCCATCTCAAAAAAAAAATAAAGTGGAGAGTGATAGAGGAAAACATCTGACATCAACCCAATTCTGGTCTCTGCACCTGCACACATTGGCAGGTGCCCCTCCTCACCATGTGTGCCACACACAAAGGGTAGGCCATATAGTCCCTATTATAACTACCAGCTTTGGGGCCTACAAGCAAAATAGCCAGAGATAAAACGTAAATGTGTGAGTAGAGCTGTGTTGCAATAAAACTTTATTTGTGGGCTGGAGAGATGGCTCAGCGGTTAAGAGCACTGACTGCTTTTGCAGAGGACCCAGGATCAGTTCCCAGCACCCACATGGCGGCTACAAACCTTCCTTAACTCCAGTTCCAGGGGTATCTGAAGCTCTCTTCTGACCTCCACGGGATTGCATGACACAGTGCTCTCACATACATGCAGGTAATACACTCATACACATAAAATAAAAATAATAAATAAGCAGAGTATGGGGCCGCATACCTGTGATCTCAGCACTCAAGGAGGGCAAAGCAGAAAGACTGAGAGTTCCAGCCAATGTGGGCTACAAAGTGAGACCCTGTTCAGGGGCTCTGAGAATTTATACGAAGATAATGGTTGATGGCAGAGGGGGAGACTTTTTCTTCAGTGGTGTAGCCACTGGTAAGGTGCCCATGCTCCTGTAAACAACTCTAATGCAACCCATTGGGTCACTACAAAAACATGAAAGTTGAAAGGAGATTAATTGGGAAGAGGAAGGGGATTAACAGGAATGAGTAAGGGACAAGAGAGGGTAAAGGGGTGAAGATGATGGAAATACACTATGTACGTGTATGGAAGTGTCACAAAGAAACCCATTATTATGTAAAATACATGCTAAAAACATTTTTAAAATGTTTTTAAACAAAGCTGCTAGCCTCAAACTTTAGTTTTAGCTTGCATCAGAATCATCTGGAAGAAGCCAGGCATGGTGGCCCACACTTGTAATCCCAGTACTTTGGAGGTGACTCCTGAGTTCAAGGTCATCTTCAGCTATATAGTCAGTTCAAGGACAATGTGGGCTACAGGAGGCCCTGTCTCAAAAAACAAACAAAATCACTTTGAGGACTTTTTCAAAAGCCAATCTCAGAGTTGAGGAGCATGGCTCAATAAGCAGAATGTTTACGATGTAAGCATGCGCACCTGATTTCTGATCTCCAGCACCCAGGAAAAGCCAGGCGTGGTGGCACACACCTGTAATCCCAGGCCTGGGGAGGCAGAGAAAGGAGGGGGGCTTGCTCAGGAGCTAGTCTAGCAGAATCTGCAAACTCCAGGTTCCCTGAGAGATCTATTTCAAAAAATAAGGCGGAGAAGTGACTGAAGCAGATACCTAACACCCCAACACATGCAAACACAACACACACACACACACACACACACACACACCCCACAAAAGCCAAGTGCAAGTGTTGGACAGCATCCCAGAGCCTCCAATTCAGCAAGGTGGACTCTGCATTTCCATCTTTTCAGGTATAGCTAAGAATGCGGTTCCAGAAACTACTTAATTTGGGGGTTTTGTTTTGATTTGATTTATCTTCCCATGTTAATGATGGAACCAGAGCCATGTGAATTCTAGACCAGCACCTTACAACTGATGTGTAATCACTGATGCAGCCTCAGCCCTGGAAGCCTCTCTGACTGTCACTGAAGTCCTTCCCAGCTCTTTTCTTCCTCTGCACACCCAAACTCCTTGTTCCTTCTGTGAACACAGTGCCTATCCTGTTCGATGATTCTAGGGCCTGGTCAATGTGAGGGTGTCCGGTCCTTTCCCTAGCAATTTACTCATGATTCATTCACAGAGCTCCAGGGGAGGAAGGTCATGGGTCATCATCCTTCTAGGAAGATAAAGAAACCATTCAAGTTCAAAGAGTTTGTGAGAGTAAAAGGACTGGATCCAGCCAGTCTCTGCAGTGTCAGCTTTCTGGAGCTCTGTGTAACCTAAGCCCAGCCCAGCCAGGAGTAAAGGGGAAAGGGACTTTGCCCCCTGCCTGCCCAGAAACATACCTGGAGAGGAGACAGTCCCTGCTCCAACTGGACCTTGAACCTGGACTGTCTCCCAAGAAAATACAAGGGGGGGTAAGAAGGGATTTGGTTTGTCTAATCTTGTTATTTTTTGCTTCTAAATGGATTATTTTACTTTGAGGTTTTTGTTTGTCTTGTTTTGGGGCCTTTTGAGATAATGTCTCATTATGTATGTAACACAGGTTAACCTCAAACTCGTGGCTTCAGCCTTCACAGTGCTGGGATTATACAGGTGAGCCACCATGCCTGGCTGCTTGAAGGGCTTAAATCCTGATAGCTGTCCAATGTGGAAACCACTATTTTTGGGTTACAAGGACCAAGAGGGCATTTGAAATGACCTTGGGTGCCTTTCTTAGATCAGGCAGAATCAGGTTTGGTCCTGATAGAAAAGAATAATGTTGAATCCTTTCCCATCTCAAGGACATGAGGCACAATTCCTGGGTCTGCCTCTCTCCCCTAGAACTAACTGCCATCTTCATGTGGTTTTCTTGTTTTGCTTATTTATTTAAGAGAGGGTCTCATTGGCCCAGGTTAGCCTAGGTAGCAAAAACTAGCCTTGAACTCCTGATCCTCCTGCCTCAGCTCTCTCAGTCGCCTCCCCCCCCCCCGCCCCCGGAGAACCACACAAAAAGAGCCAGGGGTGTAATCCACAAATCCTCTGGTGGGCCCAGAGGAGGCAGATGTTGCCTAGTGATGGGCAAGCTGCAAGATGCACATTACCTTCCAGAGTCTGTCTGATCCAGCCTTAGGTTGGAGTTTCTTTCGTTTGGGAAGTTTCAAAACCATCTCACTTAACTTTCTATGCCCCACTCTTTCCAAATTAACAGATAACGCCTTCCTTTCTGTCATTTTTTTCCAACAGGGAGAGAGCTGGTACACAGTTCCCTGCTACCACAAATTATGCAGTCCATTTTCCTGCATTTGGGAAAATTAAGGGGTCAACACACAGGAGAGCAATGGATGAGCCTCACCTTGTGAAAATGGCCTTTGTGATCACAGCATCACAACTGCCCAGGGTGAGTTGGCGTCTGTCACTCAATTTTAGTACAAAAGTTGTGACCCAGCAACCTAGAGCATGGAGAAGTCTGTCCAGAAAGAAGTGGTCTGAACGACAGTAGCTTAGAACTCTGATGTTCCCTGGCCCCAGCACCTTGTGACCCTGCCTGTCAGTCTGTTTTGCATCAATAGATTTTATGTTCTTCACTTTGCCAGATGAATGAGAGGAGAGCAGCTAAAGACTGATCTCTGACCTTGGCACATAAACAGCCTACAGACTGGACTTGACAGTTTATAAAGGACAGACCAGTGATTCTCCAGTGCCTTGTTTGCCTTAATTACAGTGAGCATTCAAAGGCCTTGGAGGAAGTCTTCCATTTGAAGTAAAAGCCCACAAGGCAGAAGTCAAGTTTCCACTTCATTCACTCATTCACTCATTCATTCATTCATTCAGTCACCAGCATTGACAGCCATCCATGCCCTATTTCTTATGCCCAAGCATAGTGCCCACCACTTTCAAGTAAGGTGGCTCTGAGAATTCCCAAAGCCTGCCACCCCCCAGCCCCCTCCCACCCCATCCTCCATGCACTATGGGAAAACAGCAGACAGCCACATGGTCAAAGGCATGAGCTTCAGTTCTAAGAAAGTTGAGCTTGAATCCTGTTTCTGCTATGTGACCTTTGGCACACTATTTAACCTCTCAGCCCTGTTTTCCTCTTGAGGTTGATAATACCAACCTCCAGAGGCTTCCATCAAGTGTAAGTGAGACCATCTGCCTCTCCCTCCCTCCTTCCTCCTGGCACTCTGCCAGTCTTGGGGAGCCACAGGATGACTCACACATAATCCCTGCCCCCAGTACTGCTGTGACCGGTTGCTAACAATGCTGTTTCTCCATCTATAAAATGGGTGGCCATGGTAATCCTCCAGAAAGAGCCTCAAAGTCAGCGGGCCACTCTACCTGAGAAAATGGGCCGGGACATTGCCTTACAGTGTGGAAAGGGGCGGGGACATTACCTCGCTGTGGCAGCCTCTGGTTTGCCAACACATATCCCTTCATCCCTGGGAGCTGCTGTCTTTAATAAATAGATACTTCAAAATTCATGCCGTATTTGTTCACACATGGAAGTCTAGTCAGTGTTAATCACACTGATTCGTGTTCTATTTCATGCTGTTCGGAAAGTTCAATGAGAGCTAGGAGGGCGGAAGTCATCCACAGAAGATCCCATCCTGTGCTCACCCCCAGCCTTGTCAAAGCTTTCCCTCCTCCCAGCCCTCTCCAGGCCACTCGCTGGCTCTGCTCCTGAGGATGCTCTGAAGCCTTCTAAGTGCCCTTTTGTAGTTATTGGGTTTTTTTTTGTTTTTTGGTTTTTTTTTTTTTTCGGTCTTTTTGAAACAGGGTTTCCCTGTAGTCCCAGCAGGCCTGGAACTCACTATGTAGACCAGGCTGGCCTTGAACCCATAGAGATCTGCCTGCCTCTGCCCCTGAAGTGCTGGGATTATTCAGATCTTAAACACACACAAAAATTAATTCCACCAGCTTTTCTTGGCCCTGGGCCCCAAGCTACCATGGCAGACTGACCCTCCCATGGCCTTCCTAATCCCCTGTCAGCAGAGCTTCAGGTTCTACTTTGCCTGAAGAAAGTCACCAGGCACCCACTACCAAGCAACCCGTCTGAAGTGTGGCCATCTCTTCCCTGAACCTCTCTTCTACCTTCTTCCCTTCTTCCCACCCCCATCAGGGATTGAACCTCAGTAAGCCCTTTACCACTAGGCTCTATCTCCAGTCCCCTCCCTCCTTCCCTCCCCTCTCTCTCGTTTTCTTTCTTCCTTCCTTCCTTCCTTCCTTCCTTCCTTCCTTCCTTTCTTTCTTTCTTTCTTTCTTTCTTCTTTCTTCTTTCTTTCTTTCTTTCTTTTTCTTTCTTTCCTTCTGTGTGCAGGCATGATCCTATGTATGCAGGCATGTTCCTATGTGTGCAGGTGTGCATTCACATGCCTGTGGAGGCTGGAAGTTAACCTCAGGTTTTGTTCTTAGGTGCTGTCTACCTTGTTTTTTTGAGACAGCGTCTCTCATTGGAGTCCTTGATGAGGCTGGGCTGGCAGGCCAGCAAGTCTCCAGGTCTGCTGGTCTCTGCTTCCTTATCACACCACCATGCCCAGCTTTTCACATGGGTTCTGGGGTCAAGCTCAGGTTCTCATGCTTGTGTGGCAGGCACTTCATAGCCTGTGCTATCTCCCCTACCATTTTTTTTTAGCAAAGACTTTTTAAAAAATATTTTATTATTTTTATTTTATGTGTATGAGTGTATCGTCTGCAGGTAGTAGAGTGCGCCCATGTTGTACAATGCCCTTGGAGGACAATGCTCGTGGAGGACAGAAGAGGCCGTTGGATGCCCTGGAACTGGAGTTATGGACAGTTGTTAGCTGCCATGTGGGTGCTGGGATCCGAACCCAGGTCTTCTGCAAGAACAACCAGTGTTCTTAACCACTAAGCCATGTCTCTAGCCCCCTTAGCAGACTTTTTAGTGAGCATTATATTTCACAAATACACTGGAGAATCACACCCTGCTGTTTGCACTGAATGCATTCCTGGTTCTGCACACTCCTTTGCAACTGGACCTGTGATGGCAGAACCTTTTATCCTCCCGTTATTATTTCCTATGACGTCTGATCATCTTCAAAATAAAGAAACAGCCCTCTTTTCTTCATATGACTTTTGGTGTCTAATTTCTACTGCCGGATGGACCTTCTTTCTTAGCTCTGGTTTACCATTCTTCCCTGTGGGCATCACAAGGCCATCCACCCCAATGATCTGTTCAGTTGTACCTTGTGAGACCCTTCACAGACATGATACACAGACTTTTGGTGCCTATGTTGTCAGCACGGTTGATTGCAGTTGATCATAGTAGTTGATCACAACTCATAGAAAACCCAGGGAAATTTCTCATCTGAAGTCTCACCATGTCCTCACTTTGACATTTCGAACACTTAGAGCTAGTCAAAAAGCCTCAGCTTATTATTATTATTATTATTATTATTATTATTATTACTACTATTGGTCTTTTTGAGACAGGGTCTCCCTGAGGCCACAGCTGATCTGGAACTCACTTTGTAGACCAGGTTGGCCTTGAACTCACAGAGATCCGCCTGTCTCTGCCTCTCAAGTTCTGGGACTAAAGGTGTGTGTCACTACCCCCGACCTAACCTCAGCCTCATTTTTTACTTTTTAAATTTTGAGACACGCTTTAAGTTGCCCATACTACATTTTATTTATTTTTACTTTTTATTTTATGCGTATGAATGTTTTGCATGCATGTATGTAACTACGCCATGTACATGCAAACCTGTAAAGGTCAGAAGATGGCAACTGGTTTCACAGTTGCTGGGAACTGAACCTGGGCCCTCTCAAAGAGCATCCAGTGTTCTTAACTGGCTGAGCCATTGCTCTAGTCCCTGAGCAAGTTAACTTTAAATTTACCCTGTGGCCTAGTCAAGCTTTGAACTTATGATGGCCCTGCTGGGATCTCCTAACTAGATTACATGTCTGTGCCACCAGGTTCTGCACCCTTTTTCTCACGCACACAGACACACAGACACACACACGTCGATCTTTTCTTTTTTAGATAGGGTCTCATTCGTAGCTCTAGCTGGCCTTAAACTCAGAGAGATCCTCTGCCTCCTGAGTGCTGGAATTAAAGGCATGCACCACCACACCTGGCCTATATTGGTCCTTTTGAGAAATCTTGCTTTGCAGTATTCATTGGTTTGGCACTTGCTAGTCCAGGCTGGTTCCAAACTCATAGCAATCCTCCTGCCTCACCCTCCCAAGTGCTAAGATTACAGGCATGTATTAGCACATTCAATTATAATTTATGTTCTTTTTTCCTCAACTTGTTCTTTTAGGAAAGAAATTAAACCTACAGAAAATTTGAAAAAAATATTAGGCTGTTTCGCTGAGCCCTCCTTGGGCCTCTGCTGAGGCCACCTGACTAGCTGGGACAGGTGCACCTTTCTGCTGTCATCAAACAAGCTTCTTCTTGCAGGAGATGGAGACTATTACAGAGTTCCAGAATTTGTCAAATGCAGAAATAAGTGTCTGTGAGATGCTTAACCCTAAGTGACACATCTTCAATGCAACCTCTACACATGGGATGAATGCATCGCTCAACTCTCACCGGAGAAGTTTCTTTATGAAGCAGATGGTGATTAATACAGAAACGCACGATTGACCAGTGTGCAGAGAACAAGAGGCCACAGAGTACTTATCCCTGACTAGGGCAGCTATTTCAAACTCTGCCTCCCAAGGCTCAGGGATCATTGAAGAAGAGGAGGTGGAAAGGCTGTAAGGACCAGAGGGGGTGGATGACCACAAGGAAACAGAGTCTCCAGGCAGCTGGTTGGTTACTCATATGAACTCACAGCAATGGTGGCAGCATGCACAAGTCCTATGCAAGCTCAAACCAGACAAAATCCCAGCATAGACATGGGAAAGTGGGTAAGAAATCCCAACCAACCTAAGGAATAATTAATTGATGGCTGCTGGGATGGGGAAAGATAGTGTCTTACAGGGATGGGACTCTTGGTAGGCCTAGTGGATAGTCCTACACTGAAGGACATTTGGGGACACAAATCAGACTCTATGAGCTGTTTTATATATATGAGAGTATATTAAGTTGTGGGGGGAGTATCGGGGGTAGGGTAGGGGATCTAAATACTATCAAACTATATTGTATGAGCATTGCAAAAATTCAATTAGAAATAAAATTTAAAAAGAAATGATTCAGATATATGAAATAAAATTAATGTTATACATAGTCATTCTAAATCACTATGCATCACCTTTGTCAGACTTTGACCAAAATTTGTTGATAAAGGAAGCAGGCATATTTAAAACAAGCATATTAAAATAGCCTCCACCTAGCTTTTTCAAGCTAGCATTTTGCAACACTCTCTTCCTCTCTCTTCATATGTATATATAGTATGTGTTCATATACAGGTACATACATACAAACATACAAACATGTACGTATG